CAGGTTAATAAAAGAAATCAGCCTCCTGATATCCAAGCCCAAGTGGCAGCCTAGAAACAAAGTAAAATGTAGCCAAAGGACAAAGACAGGTACATAAAGAACATTCTTCCTTTAAATGACATACATTATGATTTTAAAGAAAGAGCCACGAGCCCCAACTATGAGAAAATCACTCCCTCACCTCTTTTTTTCTGTGGAGAAAGAAATAGGTAGAAATGGGGTGATGACAATTCTCTTCAACTCCCAGCCCCTGTAAACAGTTTTTAGTATACCCATAATTAAGTGAAAAGGCGAACACATCTTGCTGCATCTATAAATCAGAAAGGCTACAGTCAATGGTTTCTATGAAACAGAGCCTATACAAAACAACCCTGAAGGCAGCATATATTATAAAATATCTTAGTGTTCCCTCAATTTGTTTTGTAAATTGTTCTGGCTACATACGTGACTAAGACCAAGAACAGTGTCTAAGACCAAGAACAGTCTCCTGCAGCTGCTCATGATTTATGTGGTAGAAAGATAAAAAGATCATTCCTCAGAGATTTATATCCAAATGACTTGCCCTAATTTAAAAAAGGGAACATTAAGATAATCCAGAAAAGAAAAAAATAAAAGTCTCAAACTTGCATAATGAAAAAAAAAAATGTCACTGCACGTTGCCTGGTAAAGACAACAAAGACACCCCACAGAAATGAATGCATGGCCTCACACAGAAAAGCAAGTGCAAGAACATTACAGATGGGAAACTGACCAAGTCTCTTTAGTCCAAAATAGAATAAAATAAAACAAAATAATTTTTTAGAATCATACAAGGAGAACTTAGAAAGCAAGTGTGGAAATATGAAACCGAGTCAGCGATAGTGATATTTCCATTTATATTATCTATTCTAGTATCTCATTCATTTGTACTTTAAAATAAAAACCTTAAAGAACTTAGCATCTTTTGTGCCCACATATCACCTTTGTTTTCACATATTCCTGGATTAATGTGTGTGAATTATAGTCTATAAACAGGTATCAGCCTATCATGGGAGTCACCAAATCGACAGATGTAGATTTAGGAAAACTTGGTCTCTATGCTTAGTTCATTAGGCATCATTTATCTGCAGTAAATCAGTTTTTCTCTGGCTTATAAAGTAGGCCAGCAGGCACTCTATTATCAAGAACAATAAATTCAAACTGTACATACAGTAAAGACACATATAAAATTTCATTTAGCCCTTAAAACCACCATGCAAGAAAAATCTCTATAACTTTTATAATCATCATACAGATTATAAACACGGAAATCCCAAGAAGTTTAACAAACATTTGCTTAAGGTCATTTGTCTCATGACTAATAAAACAGGAATTAGAATCTAAGTCTTCAGAAGCTAGAGCCTAGAATCTTTCCACCAACCATATTTTAGGTGTTCCTCAGATATGGAAAGTGAAGGCCACATGTAGTGAGATTTGCCAATCCATGTAAGAAAGCTCTAATACCCAGACTTGCTATTTCAATGATAAATTTTTATATGATTTATGGTGATGAAAACATTTCAGTCACCCATTATTATAGAACAAATGTAAGCCACAATTTACTATCTTCAAATCAGTGGTTAGACATAAATAAAATTTAGCAATTTTAATTGGTTTGGCCCAGCCTTTCAGATTTCCATATGGTTATTTTCCTTGTTTTATGTTAAATGTAATCAACTTAGCACTTGGGTTTTAAAATCTTGGCAGAATGTATCAATTAAAAGCTACATAAATTAGAATTATTCAATGCAGACATTCCAAATTGAGTGATCTTAAGGACAAGATTTAAAAAAATGTTCTTTTCATAAATATGTTAATTTTCCTCTACAAAGTAAACTTGCATCGTCACTCACATGACAAACTTCATACAGACATAAAAGAGATATTTTCTTTGGAGTAGTGAAAACTAACATTCTATTTGCTTCATCTCTGAGAGTTAGTATGCCTAAAATGGACTTTTCTACATTGCTTGCAAGATGAATCTTTCTTCTCTGAGTATTTCTGAAACTGACAGCAGTTATGATATTTCTCATAAACCATCCCCAAACTAAAACGTAAGCACAATATTGATAAATGTAACACCGGACACATTAAGCTAATGGTGCTCTGAACCAAATTTTAATCAGTGTTGCAAAATATGGTACCTTGATTGATATTTAATATGATATATCAGAATATTATGTTTAAAAAATAGTTATACATTGAAAGAGGTGTTCTTTCCAAGCCCAAGCCACAGTTACCTTTAGAAATTATAAAACCACACAATCTGAATAAAATGCAATCAAACAGAAATACGAAAAACTCAAAAGACATTCATTTCTGTAGTATGGTGATTAAATTTATTGTCACAAAATTGCTCCGCATGGCTGTTGCCTGTGTCATTATATTTGAAATAGTGAAGTGTACCACATGTGCTAAATGAATGAATCATTCATCAAACCCCAAGTGGTTGTTGATGGAATTTTCACACTTACTTAGCTTGACTGAAAGGCCAGAATACCTGGAGTCCCCATGATTCTTGGAGAGCTGTGTGATTCAAATTAAAACCCATTTTAAAATATTATTATTAAGTTCTTCTTTTACATATGAGATAGTAGGAGAGTATAGAACCAGTAGCTTTATAATAGAACCATGATATTGATGCCATGTTTATAAATGACTATTTAAACTACTAAATATTAATAGATATTCTTCCCTGGTGAGCATAACATTAGATTCAGAACAATCGATCCTACTGCTTAGGATTTACATAGGTTACTTTCCATCCATGCAGCACTGCTGCACAGAAAATCTTTATTTTCTTTGTAATTTTTGAATTAGAAAATTTAACAATATGAAAAAGGATCTAATCCCCCTCCTCTATTTCCACAGATTATGTTCTTGATTTTGGCTATTTCTAGTGTCCCCTTTTTCAGTGACTGTGGAATTGCTAGAAGTATTCTTAAAGAAAACCTTGAAGGTCATTAGATCCTGGGCTATGAATGCCTTCATTCAACAAGGGCACTGCCCTCCTTTGCCTGCAAGCCGTTTAACATCAGCAAGTTCCCCCAAAGGGCCTGCACTTTAACTTGTGTGATGTGTGACCGAACAGGTCACATATCTAAAATACTTAGCTTTCTCAAATGTCTCTGGTCGGCAGCACTGAGTCACTAATGCCACAGCCACAATGTTTCAGACTAGATTGACCTCTTTCTAGTTTTCAATGGAATTATTCCATGTAATCCGATTTGCACAGCCATTTAATCAAAGCGAGAAAGGAGATTACAGAGCTCACATTTGTTTTGCAAAGCAAGGGTGCAAGGATAATCAATCCTACCGCTTCTCAAAGTGACTTGATAGTACATCACCCCTCCCCCGCCCCGGCTTTGGAGTGTTGGACATTAACCTTATCTGTCTCTTGCGATCTGATTTTAGTAGGAAGGTTTAGGCTCTTTTCTTGAACTAGAAGGTAGCAACTTCTTCCCCCAGATCTCACCACTATCATTCATGTGAGCAGATGCTACTATTTTTATAAGTCTCTACCCTTCTTATAATTCCACAGAAAGCTTGTCTAAATCAAGAGACTACAATGAAACTTTTCTTTTGCTGCAAGTATCTTTAACTTTTGCATTTCAACAGCACACTGTGGTGATTCCAGGTGTGGTGCCCAATGCCTTGCTTGAAAGCTAACCTGCTTGCCAGAGAGGCGAGAGGCAAGAGGCACACCGCTTCTTTTCTCTTGGAGAGTACTCTAGAGACTATGCAAGCCTCTTTTAGCCAGGCAATGTCCTTTTCCCCTGCCTTTTACCAACACAGGTACAAGGGGCTAGAGTCTTGCAACTTTCTTCCTAATGGGTATCTTTGCAGGCCTAGAAATCTGTTTAAAATATGATGCTAAGCAGGTCATTTGATAAAGCATTTGGAGCACATTGTTGCCTTCATTCTAAACCGGCAATTTGTACAAACACCCCGATTTCCTTTTCCCCCAACCCTTCCACCCCTTGTACACATTTCAGGAATTGCAATCTCCGACAGAACCTCAGGGGGGTGAAAGGGCAACCCTTACCCAACCCGCGGTAGATAACACATAATTTCTGAGGGGGTAGGAATGAGAGGAGGTAAGAATCAACAATGGTGAAGAGAACTGTGGATAGGGGCACCGTGGCGGCCCTTTCTAAACGACGAACCAGTTATGTTTGTTTCTAAGTGGGGAAAAAATTTAATTGTCCCTCTGGGCAGTGCTTTACCCACAGTGCTTTATGTATAATGCAGAATTTAGCTGCACTAGGAATTATCTCAGTAACTATCAATGAGGTGTCTATTTCATAAAAAGCCTTTATCTCTGCTGAAATGGAAAACGGTGCATGCATTGTGGAGGTACTAGAGCTCTCTAGAGCCCACATAGAGCCGCAAACTAGGCAGATACCGCGGAGAGCCAAGTTTCCCGGGCGGGCCAGGCAGGTTCCCGCCCCGCCGAGAGCTGCAGCTTAGGAGCTCCGCGTTGGCTTCGCTCCCGCTGCTGCACCCGCGTCCGCGCCGCGCTCGGTGCCAGCGCCCACCTCGGGGCTACACAAATAAATCAGAGTGCGAGAGCCAGCGAGGGTGGCGCGTGGGGAGCTGTTTCATAATCTCCCGGAATGTACGGGAAAACCTCTCCTGTGCAAAGGCATGCCTTCCCGTGATAACTTAAAATTCCTTGAAGCAAAAGCCGACCGATCCTTCTACCAGACGGGAATTGCAGTTTCCGACTGACAGCTCCAAACTTCACCGCTGAGGCTCCAAACTTGACACCGGCTCTCTCTCAGCCCTCCTCCTCCCTTTCTCCCTGGCTCACGCGGCTCGGCATCGCACACCACGCCGGCCTCCCCGAACCCTCTTGGTTCACCCGGCAGGCACAGCCCTGCACGCCCCAGCGGCAGGTCACAGGACGCGCCCGCTTCCCCGGGGCACCGGGCGAGATTTTTCTTGGAGAGCCCGCGAGCTCCTGAGCGCGCCCTACTCACTTGTGTCTTCTTCATAAGGAAAGGCAGCGCTGCGATCCACCACGAGCAGTGGTGTGGCAACTCCGTTTAGCTGTTCTGGAGCTCCAGCATACTGCACGAGCAGCGGCGGCAGATAGTCCACGCATTGGGTAGCCCGAGCGCAGCGCCCTCTCCACTGTCTGTGCTTCCTGCGGCGCTTCTAGTCTCGGCGCGAGGCGGCGAGCGAGCCCGGCTGTCGAGCCGCGGGCGCTTTTATACAGTTCCCTCCCGCCTGCTCCGGACACGCCTCCTTCCCTTCCGGAGCCCCGGGTAGGCGACAAGCAAAGGCGAGGAGGGAAGAATCGGGAGGACAGCCAGACGCTGTAAATGACCCAGAAGTTGGGCAGATTAGGCCAACCGCAGACCCTCGCCTGGGGGCCCCGGTCCTGCACCGGCTGGAGGCCGCGAAGGAGGGGACGCAGAGGGCGAAGCTTGGCACCCGGCAGCTACTGCTCGAGACGAGTCCCAGCTCAGCCTCCCGGACCCGCCAGGGCTCACCTGGCACCCTCGGGGACAGAAGAAATACCTCGGGCGCAGGAGAGGACTCGGAGCTCCCTCTTTATAAAGAGTCAATGAGGGAGAGGAGTCCGGGAGGTTCAGAGCAAAGAATTCACCCTGCCTGCCTTAAGGAAATAAAGTTTAATTGCGACCTGCAGTTAGGCTATTGTCCTGTCTTTTTAAACAGTTACTTTAGTGAATGAATAATAATTTCAAAAACTGTTGACTCAAGGTTAAGTATTACAAGGGGAGACGCTTATTTCAGAATGGTTTGTTACTGTGTCTTTAGAAATTAAGATTGAAAGAGAAGCGATGGATTATTAAACTGCAGGTCACCAACATAGCAAGGTTTTGAAAGTTGTACTTTTTTGAACGGAAAGATAATGCAACCACAATAATAATACCTAACACCATTATGTGATTAATTTATTCATATACCGGGTGCCAGACTAAGAACTACGCATAGAATATCTCATTAAATTCTTTCATCCCATCTATTAATATAGATCTTATTATTTTATTCCCATTTTATGGACAATGAAATACAAGCTTAGGTTAATTTTTCTGACCAACCATGTCTAGTAAATGGCAGAGCTCTAATTTAAATCTGGAGTCCCAGCTGTACAGTCTTAAAAAAAATAATTTAAGCAAATATTTTATTGATTCTCCAAAATGTGTCTATTTTGATTTGTATAACTGGAGAATATTGCACAGCATTTTATTATTTTTTAAAAGAAAATATTAGCTGAACATTAACATCAGTAATCTTTAAAGAAGGAATAATGTATGAGTTTAGGAATTAGTTATTTTAATAATATAACAGGATTCCAAATTTGCCTTAATTAATTCAGGTGCATTTGTTAAACATGAATATGCCAAACCTATAACCAGGGCGAGGCTTATCCATTTCACTCCAGATGTACTGACCTCTGTGATTTCCCCAAATGTGGGAAATTCTACTTCATAATTTAATGGAGGACTGTGTTCTCACTTTCTCATATTAGAAAAAATATGTATAGACAGCACATTAATCATGATTCCAAGTTGATAGTTGCTTAGAAAGATTTTTATACATCAGGTACTCTTACTCAGAATTAGTACAAATATATCAATCATCAAATATCAAAATTAGCTGCTTAAGTTGGATACTGGAGGCATAACAAATGATTGTTTTCTTTTTCTTTGAGGTTTATTTTTATTTTTTAGGCAGAGTCTCACTCTGTCTCCCAGGCTGGAGTGCAGTGGCACAATCTCATACCACTGCAACCTCTGCCTCCCGGGTTGCTAGCCCAGGTAATTTTTTGTATTTTTTTTTTTTTTTTTTTAGTAGAGAGGAGGTTTCACCATGTTGGCTAGACTGGTCTCGAACTCCTGGCCTCAGGTGATCTGCCCACCTCGGGTTCCTGATGTATTGGGATTACAAGCGTGATCCACTGCGCCTGACCTCTTTAAGGCTTTTTTGAAGTCAAGCATTTTATTTTTTTCTCCAGCTTTATTAAGGTGTATTTGACAAGAATAGTACCTATTTACCATGTACAATATGGTGTTCTGCTTATGTATATATTGTGAAGTTATTAAAACAGGCTAAATAACATATCCATCACCTCACATACATTTTTGGGAGATGAGAATTTTTAACATCTACTCTTTGTAGTTTTGAAGTTCCTCAGTATATTTGGGGGATTGATTCCTGGACCTTTCACATATACCAAAATCTACATATATTCAAGTCTCACAATCAAACCTGCAGAACCTGCAGACACAGAAAATCAGCCCTGCTTATACATGGATTTTACATCTCTAGCATACTGTATTTTCTCTCTAAGTTTGAAAAAAAATTCCATGTAAGTAGACCCACACAGTTCAAACCTGTGTCATTCAAGGGTCAACTATATACAGTACATTATTATTAACTGTAGTTATCATACTATACAATAAATCTCCAGAACTTATTCATCCTAACTAAAACTTTGTACCCTTTTACCACCATTTTTCCACAATAAAAAATATTTAGTGTCAAACTCACTTTAATGTATAACACTAAGTAAATAACAAGTAATACTAAAGGAAGACAGATAGGACAAAAATAATCAAAATGGCATGAGAATTACTGAAACTTGGGAATCATAGATCTAACCATATGGATTTTATGAGACCAATAGGAAGAAATGGCCTAATTAGTTGGACCAGGTTTAAAGAAACCAGGCAGTGCTCCTAACAGAAATTCAGTTCAATTTCTTTCCATTCAACTCAAAAATACGTGCTATATTCATCTCCTACAATACATTCTCACTCTCCTCGCGCTCTTCCTCCCTCCTTCCATTCTTTTCCCTGTCAGTTCTGTCTCCTCCTCCCACCTCCACCATTCCCTGGTTCCAGCTTCATTAATATTACTGACTTTCTCATCCATAACTGTGCCTTTTATTTTGCTCATACCGCTGCATTGTAGCTTTGTTGTGTGACAATGTTACTTGAAATTAAATCGAGAGAATGCCAAAGCAGATATCCAAGGGATTAGAAAGAGCTAATATGCAAATAAAAGATTTTAGGTAGGCTTATGTAGAAGTCAGAAATGGGTCAGAACAACAGATCTCTCCATAAGACTGGCTTTTGATAGGGGATGCAGGCCAGCATTCAGTTGCTTGGCAGAAGAAAAACTGAACAAGAGGCAGGGCTGTGTCCCAGGGGGACAGGAGGCATGGGGAATATTTTCTTATGGAAATAGCAAGCTGCCATTATATAGCTCAGGGAGTTCAATATTTAACACACCGGGTAGAAAGTTATTCCACAGTTATCTAATTTTTACTTGCATACTTTCAATAATATTGGTCAGTCATACTATTATTGATTAATTCAATTTTGAAAAGCTTTTTTCCTGAGCTTTATCATTTTTGGTGTTGGTAAGACGCAGGTTTAATTTCAGCAAATAAGTCTTACAAACCTTACTTTGTGCATGTGAAATAGCTCTTGTTCATTCACTATTTTGTGGATATCTTCTTTCAGACACACATATTGTTTTCAATTTTTTTTTAATTACTCTTACAAACTGAAACTGATTGTCTGACCAAGTCAGACCAGAGGCAGGCCATCTGTATCTGTCTTTGACTGGAGGAGTGGGGAAAAGAGAAGAATGACTCTTTGATTATGAAACTTCCTCTGGTGAAAGCTCTTTGGTGGCTTGCCATTGCTTTTGGAATAAAGAAGTTAGCACCTTAGCCTTAGGCCTTCAAGGCCTCCGGGATCTGGCCTCTCCCTTCCTCTTTAAGGTCAACTCATTATGCTCCCGTTTTTCCAGGGCCAAGGCCCTTCTGTCCTCATAATTCTCACCTCAGAGTATTTGCAGATACCCTTCCTTCTGCCTCTGTTTGGACCATTTTGTTTCATCCTATCTTTGGGCCTAGTATGTATGTACTCATCATTTAGGTCTCAACACAGTATTTCCTATATTTCCTTCCTCAAGGATGCTTTCCTGATCTCTTTGATTGTCAATTCTCCTTTTATTATAAAGTCAAGCATGAATTACCTATTATTTACAAAATAACTTCAGTTTTATATTTGTTTGACTATTTGGTTAAAGTCACTATGACTGTCCTTGCTCATTATTTTATCTTTAATATTTAGTACAGTGAAAAGAACAGAGTGAATCTTTTAAATATTAGTCAACTAGGTTGCTGTTGCCACATTTAAGCCAGAAATTGGTCTAAGCCCTTAGTTTATACTATGTCAATAACTTCTTATCACAATCATGTAAGGAAGGGAATTTTAACTTTTCTACTTGATAAATAAGGAAACTGAGGATCAGTTAAGTACAGTGATTTGCTTAAGATCCCTCAATTGATAAGTGGGAAAACCACGATCTAACCCAGACATATGAACTGTGGTTAGGATTTTTTTTCCTTAGTTTGCTTAGCACACTTTCCTGTCACTCTTCTTCCATTCTTAGCACTCACTTTTACTTGGAGAATTCAAAGTATTCCATATCTTTCGGGAGAGACTGTCATTCACATGGCTCTGTTTTCCCACCTCCTCCCTCCACTATAGGAGTTAGGCTTAGAACCCTGATCTGGTTAGTCCTGATTGGTTGAGGAATGGGTACATCACATGAGGTGAGTGGATCAGAATCCACTGTGGGACTTTTCTGCTAGAGCCAATGGGGAACACTATCTCTTCCCTGTGGGGTTTCCAAATTACAAGAATGTGAAGTTCTCTTTGCCTATGTGAAGATATATCATTTTACCAGCCTTGAAATGATGAAATTCATAAGTTCACAGAGTATTCTTTGAATAATATAATTTTTCTAGTATTCAGAAAACAACAACAAACTTATTTGTCTAGTTCAGGGTTTTTCTTGATTATGTAATAAGGATTAGCAGTATTGCCAAGGATAGTGTATTAGTCCATTCACGTTACTATAAAGGAATACCTAAGACTGGATAATTTTTAAAGAAAAGAGGTTTAATTGTTTCATAGTTCTGCAGGATGTACAGGAAGCATGGTCTTGGCATTTCCTTCTGGTGAGGCCTCAGGAAGCTTACAATCCTGGAGAAAGGTAAAGTGGAAACAGCTGTGTCAGATGGCAGGTGTGAGTGCAACAGAGTGAATGGGGGACGAAGTCTCAGACTTTTAAACAACCAGATCTTTCACGAACTAACTGAGAAAGAACTCACTCATTACCAAAGGCATGGTGCTAAACCATTCATAAAGAATCCACTCCCATGATCCAAGCACATCCCATCAGGCCCCCACCTCCAACAATGAAAATTATATTTCAACATGAGATTTGGAGGGAGATTATGAGAAACCATATCATTCTGCTTTTGGCCACCTAAATCTCATGTCCCTCTCTCATTTCAAAATGCAATCAAGCTTTCACAATAGTACCCCCAAGTCTTAACTCATAAGTTCCAAGTCCCACGTCCAAAGTCTCATCTGAAGATGAGTTCCTTCTACTTATCAGCCTATAAGATAAAAAATAAGTAATTTACTCCCAAGATACAATAATTATACAGGATTGGATGTATGTTCCCATTCCAACAGGGAGAAATTGGCCAAAAGAAAGGAGCTACAGGTGCAATGCAAGTTTGAAACCCAGCAGGGCAGTAATTCCATCTGAAAG